TTTAACTTGATTTGCTTATCAGGTTGCCATGGGAGATACAATGATAGTCTGATTTAATTAATAACATGCAACTTAGAAAAATTTCCGCTGTAGATTTTGCGTTTTTTGTAATTTTCTCAGCTGCTAAAAGGAATATCTAGATTTTTAAGTGCTTTGTGCTTGCATTTAAGTATCTCTATGTGATTTAGTAAAATGTCTGGTAAAGACTTACATGGTAAATTATTATTTATTATTGCTTTTTGTGTTAAATTGTAAAGAGAAGGCACTTTGATCTCCTTTCGCTTATAACATAAGTCACTAAGTATATTATTAATAGAAACTAAATAGCGTCCCGAACTAAAGGTCACTGAAGCAACCATTATTTCAAAATCGTGATTCATGGAATCAACCCATTCAAAATTTGGATGTGGATGCATATTGCTAAAATTTAAAATATTTATTATTTAATAAAATAATAAGAAGCATACATACCTATTGTTGCTATGCATCAGTAAAAGATATTTTCAACAATTTATTCGGTTTCCCCACATCGACTTCACCTTCAAAAACTAAAGCGAATTTCCGAATAGATGCTGCAATTTCCCTGATTTTTTCGTTTGAAAACGATCTTGAATAACCCTCGGATAGAAAAACACCGTTATCTTCTGTTTCAACTACAATTTTTCTACCAAATTTACTAGTTTGGACTGCTTTAATACTATATAGCTTGTATTTTTTACCAATTATCATATCCTTAATTTTTAAAATTGGTTTAAATGCACATTTTCCCAAATAAGTTAATTCCTTTAAGTGCTGACCCATGTTATTTGATTTTGTTATAAAGTATTTCTTTTGCCTATGCACATAATAATAATGTTTCACAAATTAATTTAGTAACATTACTTATATAAGAATTACTCACCAATTTGTTGGTTAGTTATTAACTACCGCTAAAGATGAAGATTCCTTGTTATTTATGCTAGAATTTTCACCTGAAAAATAACTTTATCAGCATCGTCTGTGGTAATTGGTTAATATATTTCCTGATATTCATGAATTGATAATATTGGTTTACCCGTTTTTCTATATTTTACCATTTTCGGAAGTGGTGATGGTGCTAATTCTTCATAACATAACAAATCATCACTATTGTTTCTTATAGGATGCATTTTAATAGATTTATTACAAAAACAAACACTTGGCACTCGTAACAGCGTTTTGTACCCGACATTTTTCATCACGTTGCAATAAAGTATGTAATTTTTTTATGTTTTTTTTATTTGCGGATGTTCCATACCGCATTGAGAATCTTTATCATTTAATGCTACAAAATAGTGACAATCTGAAACCGTAGAGTTCAACATAATGCTGGCATTACGCGAAGCTACGTATGTCTGAGGAAAACCCCCTGACAAAACCCCAGACAGAGCAGTCGGCAGCGGGATTCGAACCCACAACCTCCCGAATACCATCGATGCGCGCCACCACTGCGCCACGTGCCTCGGTTCTTGACTAGAATGATTGGAGAACTGTAGTTGGATGTTGACGGTACGATGATCTCATTATCCAGCATCTCTTTGATCTGGTTGGTATACCCCATGGATGCTGATTTTTCTGCGAAAATATCGTTAAATTCGTCCAACTATCCCTGTAGCGGTTTCTTCTCCTCCAGCGATAAGTGGGATGATATGATATGGTTGGTGGTTTCTTTAGAAGTTGCTTTTTTCACGTAAAGCGCGCTGTCTTTCACCTTCGCTGGTGCACTTGTAAGATGTCCAGTTGTTGTACCGGCAAACACTTTCACTTTATGACGCACCAACGCTTGTAAAGTCGCGTAAAATTTGCCTCGGTATATATATATATATATATATATATATATATATATATATATATATATATATATATATATATATATATATATATACACACATGTAGAATGACATCATTTATTAAGCGGCAGGATGCAAACTTTACAGGGGAGTCGATGGTGTCCGTCTGTCCGTCCATGAACGCGATAAAGCTGCTATGATATTGGCTAGATTAGAAGTAGGTAACCACATTATAGCAAAACTACTGTTATGGTAAAATAGATTTATTCACTTCAATCAATTTAAACAGTACAAAATGTACGCCTTGAATATAAACAATAGATGCACTCTACGCCACTATTCCTCGCCAACTCGCCTCACACCAATGCCGCCTTCCCATTACTCGTCTTTTGTCGAGGTGTCGCCCCTTTACCGCGGTTTCTCCCGTAACAGTCGGCCATTCTGAAAATAATTAATGCCCTCATTAATCGTACCGCCTAACTTTCTAGGAGATCCAACAGGTCTAGCCTATCGGTCATTGGGTCACCGCCTGGCCGCCTCCAAAACCCTTGAGCACAACGCCTGTGCTCAATCCCTTTTTACAAAGTGCTAAACGCCTAGCAGTCGCCAGTGTAACAATAGAATGTTCGCTTCCCGAATCAATATACGCATTGACCGGACAGCGCTTTACGAACGCCACTTTAAAGAAGGTATCTGTGGTTTTCAACAATAAACTCACCTTCGAGATCGCCTTTGGAACCTCCTTTGACGCCACCCCAGGTGGTTCCCTCCGCTTCTCGCAATCCGCCCACACGTGGTCAGCTGCCCCGCAACGCCTACACCGCTCCCTGGGGCAGTCGCTGGTGAAATGCGTCGTCATCTGCTGACAATTGTAGCAACTCACCAATTTCTCGGTCGCCACAGGTGGGGAGTGCTCCCGTTTGGTGGGCTTTGCCGCCGTGCCAAGCCGCTGGCGAAGAGCCCGTGAACTTGGTGCCCTCGCCGCTGGCAACCCGTCCCGATAGGACTCCAAGCCCGCCAAAAAGTTGTAGAAAGCCTCAGGAGTGACGCATTTCGCCGCATATGCATTCGTCCGATGGACCTCTGGTAGACCGTGTATTAAGACACGAGACGGCATTCTCGCCAGATATGCTCGCCCGCGTGCATAGTGCCAGCTTGTCCCTAAAATACTCGGTCATCGTTTCGCCAGACCGCTTTCGCCGATGCACAAACTCTTCTATTAATTCGCCGAAATTTGTCCTTAAAGGGAACGCCTCCTTTAATTGCTCTCGCCATTCTGACCAATTAAAATGTATTCGGTCAAGCCGATGGAACCAACGCCTAACGTCGCCTGACTCGCCAAAACTTTCTGTTTATCCGACCACCCATGCATCTCCGCCAGCATGTCTAGTCGGGTGATCCATCTGCTAATGGACGCTTCCTTAACATCTGGATCAAAAAGTTCTACCAACTTCCACGCCTTACTGGAAGTAAACGCCTCTGTGCTCGCCTCGCTCGCCGCCGCCTGCGGTGGAGGTCTAGGCTGTGGGGCCAACCCCAGGTCCCTCAGCACATAGGATGCACGTCGTTCAAACGCCCGCAGCACCTGACCGCAAATCATGTGCTCAAAAGTTGGCGCGTCACCTCTTCCGCCAACTGACTTTGGTTGACCGTGCCTCGCCCTTCGTCTGGAGGCTCGCCTGCTTCCATGGACATAGATTACGACCACATGTAAGCCACAGGTGTTTGTTTACTCCCGCCGCGCCGCCTGTAACAATCCGTCCTTGGCTTCTAGCAATGCACCCGCCGTACTTTTCGCATATCTAATGCATGCAATAATTGAAGTTTAATAGTTACAGTTACGCCTCGCCTATTTTAATTGATTTCAATTTACTTGCCACTTTTCGCCTGTCTAATGCCTTCCGAATACCGAGCGCCTTGTCCCCTGAATTCAGATCCCACTTCTGATAATGCTATGGTAAAATAGATTTATTCGCCGTCAATAAATTTAAACAGTACAAAATGTACGCCTTGAATATAAACAATAGATGCACCCTACGCCACTATTCCTCACCAACTCGCCTCACACCAATGCCGCCTTCCCATTACTCGTCTTTTGTCGAGGTGTCTGCCCTTCTACCGTCCGTCTTGCGGTTTCTCCCGTAACACTACATGTATCGATTAAAATTGTTGTGAGTCTTCTATTAATTCTACCATGTATGTTTAGAAGATTATCATTGAGAACAAAAGTGGCATCGACCCTTATTGATTTTGGCGATCGATGCCTCGCTGATAATTTTTTGGATGGGGAGACTGTGATCTACGGTCATACGCTGCGAAAAGATGGATTTCCGTAATTGGAATAAGAATTATTGGAGAACGATAACTGTCCTATTATTTCTCCTGCAGTTAAAGTTTCCACGGAAATTTATATTTCCTCTATAATTATTAGGGCTTTTCGAATTGTTTGAAATTGGTGAATAAGTAGAAAATCGATTGCGGTTGGTGCTTATGTAGGTGCAAGAAGACTCATAATGACCCGGTTTATTACACATAAAACAAATTGATCTGGCATCCCTTATGCGAGGTTGGATGTATTCTCGTGATTGTGTGCTCCTTTATTTCGTTCTTTATGCGATGTTCCTGGGAGACTGTTGTATACTGGGTCAGGTTCCATACTGGGACAAATCAAATTTCCCGCAAACTATTCGAATTAAAAATTTAAATAAATTACACAGTTGTATACATGTGGTGACATCTAGGAAAACGATGTCGCGGTCGCCGCCAAAAGCGCGGTCAATCGTAAATCAACATGCGCAGCAAACTGAAATGTTAAAGTTTTTTTTTGCTTGATTGAACTAGGTCGTATTTTGTGGTTATTTGTTGTATTAGTTGTGATTTTCCTTGAGCATATTGCCTAAAGGATCTAGAAGGTAAGTTTTGATGTACTTTGCTTGGATCATGATTTTTGTTGAAGTAGCAAATTTTAACCTAAAAACATGTGGGTGGTTGTATAGTGGGACAAATTATAAAGTGCATAGTGGGACAATTGTGAGTTGCATAGTGGGACTGTCCCAGTATCCACTTAAAATATTTTAAATTAGCTGAACAACGTATTGTTGCTTACAGAAAATGAATAACAAGAAAAGGCCGCGGAAAAACTATGCATCCTATAGAAAGAGTAAAGAAGACCATATGCAAAATGGAGAAAAAATGAAAGAAGCAGTATTAGCTGTTCTAAACAACAATATAACAATTAGGGAAGCCGCTCGTCAATTTGAAGTGACTAAGTCAGCATTACAGAGATATGTGGCGAAGTATAGAAATATAGAGGAAGATCATAAAGTAAGTTTCAGTTTTGAAAGACATCATGGGCTTACTCAGGTCTTTACTGATGATGAAGAGCAGTTGCTTAGAGAATATTTGATTAACGCCTCAAATATGTGCTATGGGCTGTCTGCTAAAGAATGTCGACTATTTGCCTACAGGTTTGCAGTTTCAAATCAAAAACCTGTTCCCGAATCTTGGAGCGACAAGAAATGCGCGGGAGAGGAATGGATGAAACTTTTCCGAGCTAGGCATAAGTTAAGTCTCCGCACACCTGAGGCGACAAGTTTAAGCCGAGCAACAAGCTTTAATAAGCACAACGTTAGCATATTTTTTACAAACCTGCGTAACGTTATTGAGAAACACGGTTTTACAGCCAATCAAATATACAACTGCGACGAAACTGCAGTCACGACTGTACACAAGCCTCCTAAAATAATGGCCTCTTGTGGCCAGAAACAAGTGGGCAAAATAACTAGCGGCGAAAGAGGAGTTTTGGTAACGATGTGTGCAACCATATGTGCTAATGGTACATATGTGCCACCATTTTTCGTATTCCCGAGAAAAACTTTAAAACACATATGTTACATGGCGCACCACCTGGTTCAAAAGGAGCAGCACACACAACTGGTTGGATGACTGGGACAAATTTTTTAGAATATTTGATACATCTCACCGATAGCTTACATTGTAGTAATGATAACAAAATATTGCTGATTCTAGATAATCATGAAAGTCACACTGATCTTAAGGTACTACAGTATTGTAAACAAAATGGTATTGTGTTGGTTACGTTGCCTCCTCACTGTAGCCACAAGCTTCAGCCCCTAGATGTCACCTGTTTTGGGCCATTTAAGAGTTGCTACAACAGAGCTGTGGATGATAACTCCCAGCAACTTTGTATAACATAGCAGAAATAGTTGGTAAATCTTTTGGAATTGCCCTTACGCCAAGTAATGTAATAAAAGGTTTTCAAGTCACTGATATTTGCCCGTTGAATTCTGAAATATGCCAAGAGTCCGATTACATAAGTTCATTTGTAACTGATCGGGATCAGTCTCTTATTGAAGATCTGAACGAGAAGTTAGAAATTTGTGTAAATGATTTTGTAATTGTTAAGTACCCTTTAAAAAAAACGATAAAATACTACGTAGGTCAAGTGGAAAAAATTGAATCTGATGATTTTTTTGTTAATTTTCTAAAGAAGACTTCGAGGAACAAGTTCCTATTCCCAGAAAAAAGAGATGGAAGACTCAGTATCACAAGAAGACATGGTCATTAGACTTCCTAATCCTTTAATGTCAGGCGGAACTGAAAGAGTTGCAAAACAATATTGCTTTGATTTTGACTTTTCACTTTATAATATGGAATAACTACCATATTTTTTCTCAATTTTTTTAGTTTTTATCAATGTTCGACTTATTTTTTATACCTAAATAAGAAAAAAGTTTTGTTTTTGTGCCTGTTGCTTAATAAATTCATATGTGTACAAATTTAAGTAAGTTGGATTGGTGACATTTCATTGTTTATTGCTTCTATTTTACTGTGTGTATTGTTTTTTTGAAACATATCGAAGAGTTGTACTTCCTTTTCGTATATAACTACACCTATAGTAGGTTGTCCCAGTATGAACATGCCTCAGTCCCAGTATGAAACAGGGGGTTGTTGCATAGTGGGATGAGGGTGTATAGTGGGACTGCGATCCTGTTCGTTCAAACTTATGTAACATTTTTTTTCTTATTAATTTCTCATAACCTTTTGTTGTTCTCATAATGCTAAAGCAACAAAAACTGGAAAAAAGCATAAAGGATAATTTTAACAGTCAATTGTAAAATATTGTCCCAGTATGCAACAGTCTCCCCTACTTAAAAACTGCAGTGCGAAAATTTTTAATTTTATATTTGCATTAAAAGTTTCAAATATATAAAATAGTATATTAAGATACAAGTGTATAATCAAGTCTGAAAGCACGCGCAACGAGTTTAAGGGCACGACGCATAGCGGAGTGCCTTTAACGTTGCAAGTGCTTTAAAGACCAATTACACATGTGTATCTTATAGTATTTTTTGTTATACCTGCAGTATAATTTAAAAATAGGAAATACAATGAAGTCATATTGACGTTATACTCGAATACATGTTTAATTAAGTGGGCTGGGTGTTCGAAATTTCACGATTGCCATGGAAATGTCACTTGACGTTTGCTTATAATCATCATCATCATCTTTGTAAATAAAACGATTTCCGTTGAAAAAGATAATACATCGTCCATTAAATCACTTGTAAAATCTAAACAAACGTTGGTAGGTGTAAAATCCAAATCCAGTAAAGCCTGTTATAAAGAATATGAAAAGTTGTTTCCATGGATGAATAGGAAGTTACCTACGAATACAGTCTTAAATGCATTCATAATGCTGGCATATATGAAGGAAATGTCAAAGGTATTTAAATCTTCTATATTTTGGTGCATTCGTTCAAAACTTTAAAACAATGCTGCGATTAAAAAGTGGAACAGATTTGGAAGCATACCCTAAATTACGCGCGTTTGTGAAAGATTCAACGAAAGGATAGGTACAAAAGCCAAAGAAATGTTCTGCATTTACAGAAAGCGACCTAAGAGGATTTTTTATTTCATCCAGATGACAGTTTCAAAAGTCATACTTGAAGTCTCGTTACTTAGCAACTTTAAAGCACGTGTGTTTTAAAGGCCCTTTTTCGCACGCATTTGAGTGTTTAAAACGGAGATTGTGATTCAGGTATAATAAAAAAAGTTTTATATATCTGCAGGATAGCGTCGATGAAATATATAAAACTTCAGCTTCGTTTGCCTATCACTAGTGGCGCTAGAGTAGCCTCAAACTTGCCAACAGCGGCCAGCGTTTATTTGAATTTGAACAGCTGATCTGCTACTTTTCTTCACATTCGTATTTCGGTTTGCTTTTATTTAAATGGGTTGTCGATAGTTGTTTTGAAAATGGATGTCGAGGAATTTCTAATAAAGTTGGTTCGACATTACGAGGAAGCAAACGCATTTCGGCAACTTAACTCTGACGTACGAATTTTATCCGAGCATGTCCATAAATTAGAAAGTAACTGCCGTGCATTAACAATAATTTTAATACAACATTCATCTAATCATCTTCAGCAATTACTTATAAGAATTTATGAGATCAATTTCAACTTATACTTATAGATCAATACAATTCTACAAGATGGCAAGTATAATATACCTACATGTATTCCTTTTTTCGTTTTATATGGGACTTCTCAAAGTTCATGTTTGATATTGATTTCTAGATTTAATGGAACCTGGAAATTGTGACGTTATTTTCTTTACCGTGTAATCTTTGCTTTGGCTTACATTTGAATTACTATGTGGAATCCTTCTCGAATAACATTATGCGAACTTCTTACCTTTATATAGCAATCCTTACGCCATCTAGGTGTTCACATTATAACCCGATCCTTTATTTGCGATATAATTTTCTTTTAAAAAACCTTTTGTCTAGTTTTCTGTTGATTGGCGCGGTTATCTTCTCCCACTCACTGTCGACGCGCGCAGTCCTTGTTGAAGAACTCGATTCGATCTTGACTTGTATTTGAGCTACACGCCATTACACTTACTTGACATATTTGTCTACCTTTATGGGATTAAATAGTGGTGTTGTACTAAGATTAGTGAAGTTTTCTCTTATCATCTTACTTCCAATTTTGCGGATTTATCTTACAAGTTTTAAGGCCGTTTTGCGGTATGTTATCTATGACGCTTTATCTTTTTATTTGAAATAATCTATTCTAGGCTACTTTCGTACTCCCTAAGTTTTCTTACTTATTATTTTGGTTTTACCAATTGCTTCCTGACTGTACATTGATATTTTGACGTGGAAACGCGAATACCCGATTTTCCATATGGTGCAATAGAATTCCATTGAAGTTTCGACGCCATTACAATCAAAAACGCTCTACATATTTCTACCTTACCGACTGAAGAATTGACTGAAGAATTACCGCCATTTCATGTGAAACCGATATTTGAACTGATGACCCAATTTTACGAAGTTCGTTGACCTGCGATTCATTCTTCCGAAACGCAAGTACTTAATTAACGAGACGTGTGGAGTTGATACTGTGTAAATTTTTAATTAACGTTATATATTTTGCTTTGAAGAACTTGCTCGTGTAAGTTTGTTTGCATTTGAATTGATAAGATTGCTTTGTCATTGAAGATAGATTCAGTTGTTTTATTTGTACATTTTGTAGTATTTTTCTCTTAAAACTTCATGTCACTTTTTGATATCTCACACCGATTGTGAAAACCAACCCTTAGTCGAACCAAATTTTATTTTGTTGTAAAGTCATTTGAATTTTTGATACTTTTTAGTATTGATTGCAATTCTACGTACAAGAATAACCATTCGTGTCTTACGTTAACCATTGCTTATGCGATATATTGTGCAACGCGAATCATTACCCTTCTTATATTTTTTGTTTTTGTGTCTGACTGTTTCAGATTTGCAGTTTCGCGTCCTCTGAGCTCGAAAGGTTGCGACCGGAGTTCAAGGTAAATTTAGTTATTTTCGTCGTTTTTCCCTTTTAACGTTTGATTACATTTTGGTTGTTGATACTAACGAGTTGTGATTATTACTTTGTTTGAAAGTCACTTAATGATTATAGCTCCGTTGTTTCTGCGGAAGCCCTTTTGGATAAATATTTTCCCAGGCTACGTGTTGGCTTCTCATTTATTTTATTAGAGATTATTTTAAATTCCCAGTTAGATATACTAGATCGATATATTACAGTGTCAGATTTGTGATATTTTGAGATCTTTGTTATTAAACTACCCACATTTATGACATCAAATACTGTTTGTTTTCCCCATAATTGTGTATTCCTTTGAGTTTTGTAAGACGAGAACAAGGATCTCTTGGTCTGCCTTGTTCATCCCTTTAGTATTCCTCTCTCTCTAGATTCATCAAAGGCTAAGTGGCGCCTATCCGGATTACTTTTACTGTTTCCTTCCCTTTTTTTGCTTATTTGTGCGTGTATAGAAGAACCCTATTTTCACCCCGACCCACCTCTACTTTGCCTGAGCTTACCGTGTGCTTATCTAAGGTAATTTTGTCACGTTGGCCCAAAGTGAACGTAACAAAATAGGAGCCTTAAGTCGCAACCCCCATTAAAAAGATTAGCAAATCTATTAATACTGTTATTTTGTACTTATTTGTACCGCGGATACCAAATTTTGCACCACTACATTTTAATTGTTAGGACCAAATCTACATTGGGGTTGCAATTTAACGCCACAACCCCAAGTATTCACATTCTTAAAAATTTTTGTGCCAGAATTTTGTACTCATTTTGTACTAATTTTCACCGTAAATAAGAACTTTTGTACCACTACCTTTTAAGAACTAGGACCAAATTTACATTGGGGTTGCAACTTAATGCTACGCCCCCAAGTATACAGATTCTTAAAATTTTGTGTGCCATAATTTTGTACTCATTTTGTACTAATTTGCACCGTAACCAAAAAATTTTGTATCATTAGCTTTTAACCGTTACTATCAAATCAATTTTGGAGGTGCAACTTAACGGTACAACCCCGCATGTACAAATTCATACAAATTTTCATGCCATAGT